AGTAGAAATCCCCATCTTTCTCCCCTGGAGAGGCTGGTGGTTTCAAACTGCTGATTTTGTGGTTAGCGGGACACTGAGTAAGCACGATGCCACCAGGGCTCCAATAACCTCATAGATATAACTTTTTAAAAACTGAAGGAGGAGTGCAGGAAATTTAAAGTGCTCCACTCATCTGCCTTTTAAACAACTGAGGAGCATGAGCTAATGTGGATGACAGGATGAAACAGTATTAATCACCATGTTTTGCTTCATTTCTGTTGCATCCAGTTAGAGAGAGAAAGGAGAAAGAGATATTAGACGAAGGAATGACGGGTAAGAAGGGAGAGTGGGCAATAAATGCAGAGACAGCGAAACAGACGGACAAGGAATGAGAGCTATAACAAGATGAATAAAACAATGATAGAAGCTAACATCAATGCAACAATTACTAGGTGCCAGAGCCCTGGTGGTTCTGTTTGGTAAGTGACTGCTAACCCTAAGATCAGTGGTTCAAACCTACCAGCTGCTCTATGGGGGGAAAAGTGAGGCTGGCTAGATTTCTAAAGCCACGGAAACCCTATAGAGGGTGCCTATGAGTTGGACTTGATGTGAGGGCGGTGGGTTAGTGTTCACGTGTTCATTTGGGCGCCAGAGACCCCAAGGTATACCACTTGACACCTGTAGGACTCAAATCTGACAACACTCCCATTTTACAGGGAGACACTGAGGCGGTGGAGAATGAGGCCTTTGTTACAGATCACATCCTGGCCAGGACTGCCCACGCTGGCTCCTGCCACCTCATTACTCTGTTAAACAGGGGCAGAAGGATGGAAAGCTACTCAGATTGCTGGGATTCTTCTGGGCTGAAGGGTTTTAGGGCTCAGCCCTAGGATTGTTTTAAAAAACAACACTTGTGCTGGGGAAGAGCAATGCTCACTGTCATCGAGTCAATGCCGTCTCATAATGACCCCCTGTGGGTTTCGGGGACTGTAACTGGTTTCAGGAGTAGAAAGCCCAGTCTTTCTCCAGCAGAGCTGCTGGAGGTTTGAACTGCCGACCATGTGGATCAAAACCCAATGAGTCACCACGACACCAGGTCATATCATATTAAAGAGAGCTGTTCTTTATCGATGAAGAGTGCCTCTTTAGGTTAACTAGATACAAATACAAAACCATGTCAATTGTGGTGTGTTTTTTCTCTTGGGAAACAGTTTTCCTTTTCAAAACAACTGTTTATCGCATCATTTAACCAACACCCGTTGAAGCCTAGCATGTGCAAGCTGAAGTCGACTCCTTGGATTGAAACGAGCAAAAGTTGC